GGGGGGGGGGGAGTGTTCCCGTCCTCAAAGGCAGGACCCAGAAGCTTCTGCTGGGCAGAGACCAAGGCCAGGCCGGCAGATCTGGACACAAATGCCAACAGCAAACACCGGCCGAGCCAAGTGGTTATAGCCTGGGTGACTCCGGGAGAAAGGGGTGTCACCTTCTGTTTGCAGAGCTCGTGACTCGTCCCTCAGCTCCCTGCCCCCTCCCCACGCTGCTTCTCCATCCCGAGAGTGTGACCATTCACACGGGATTTCCTTTAATTCCACAGCAGTCTTGCTCTGACGTCAGGCAATACAGTAGATTTGTTTTGCGGTGAAATGTATGTGACATAAAATTTGCCATTTTAACGATTTTTAAGCGTATAGACAGGTGGCATTAAATACGTTCACACGGCCGTGCAGCCATCACCGCCTTCCATCCACACAACTTTTTAATTTGCCCCAACTGAAACTCTGCGGGGTAAACGCTAACTCCCCACATTCCCGCCCCAGGCCCCTGGCACCCCCATTCTCCCTTCCATCTCGATGAAATCCACTGATATAAAGTATTTTCTACAACAAAACTTTAACACACAAGGCATTTCCCAATCATCTTGTTCCATCCTTGCCTCAAGCCGCCAAACCAGGTAGTAGGATTATTCGCATTTTATAGAGGACGAAATTCAGAGTCAAAGGAGGGATATAAACCACCTTAACGTATTCATTCTAAACCACGTGTCTCGAACTCCAAAACTGAAGCCGAACCAGGGGTCGGTCAACTACAGCCCTGCGGCCACACCCGGCCTGCACCTGTTTTTGCAAATCAAGTTTTATGGGGACACGGTACCGTGCGTTTGTTCACAAATCTGTGGCTGCTCCCTAGCTTGGTCCACAGAGCCGAGTTTTTGCAACAGAGACCGTATGGCTAACATATTGGCTTCCCAGCCCTTCTGAGGATATGCTTGCCGACCTCTGCTCGGCAGGCCCAGCGCGTTCTAGAGCTGTGGCCCGCCGCTCGAGCGCTCGCCCTGCCTGGGGGACCCTGGCGGCAATGTCTTACCAATACAGTTGCCTAGAGCATCTTGTATAAAGCCACTCTTGCATTGTAGCTTGGGTCTGCAGCGGAAGGATCCCAGAGTATTCTGACAGATAAAATCGGGGAGGCAGTTATGAATACCACTCTCACACTCGTCAATATCTGGTACATCATAAAAAAAGGAAATTGTTAGCAAGAGTCCTGCCAGAGGCAACTTACAACATTCACAAAAATCACAAAGTTTTTTTTCCTAATGCTCATTACTCAGACTACAACCCGAAACATTCCAATCGAGAAGTCACATTAAAAAAAAAGAGCCTTAGTTAGCCAAATAGTGCTCGCGTTGCTAAAGATTTAAAGTTCTTCCCCCCCCCCCCCACCAAGGCTCTGATGAGGCAAACTTTCTGTTATATACTAAATAACCCAGGCATTTTCCAGGCAGTATGTGGGATTTTTTTTTTTTTTTTTTTTTTTTTTTTTTTTTTACCTCTAGGCTAAGTGCACGTTTGGTTTAGACAATAAAGCAATGATCTTAGTGGCAATAAAAACTGTGCCTACAAACGCATTCATTCTGACGTTGTCACAATATTCCAAATACGAACACTGGCGATTGCCATGATCGGACATTTTGGCTGCCCTTCCTTTGAAGTTCATGGCTGTCAAATGTTCAAAAGTGTATACTCAGCTGGCTGGGCCCCTGGGATCTCAGGGTCCAAACCACCCAGCGAGGCTGCGAGGGTGGACTGAACAGAGCTTTGCCCAAAGGCCCTGCGACGTCAGGAGGGTGTGCCTGGCTTTTGAGTTACCCTCGTAACTCAACCAAAACTTTTATACAAGTGGTGCTTTTCGTTCTGAAGGGCTGGAAACCCTCAGAAGAAAACTATGTTCTCATAGATCCTCATCAAAGCCTTATCTGCCAAATAACATCTATGGCTTGGCGGGGAAAGGCCAGCAGCCAGAAATGTCGTGTTTTTAGGCAGCGGAAGAGAATAAGCTTTGAACTTCAAGGAAGTCTGGAATCAGATGGAAGGCAGCTGTTGTACAGATTTTTTTTTTTTTTTTTTTTTTTTTTT